AAAGAGGCAGGCTGTTTCAGCTACAAGAGCTGCAGCTGTTTCAGCTGCATGCCTGAGGTATTTTTGTCTATCTTAAACACACTTCTTGGAGTGTCCATGTCCTCAGGTCTCTCCCAACAAGCATGGTCCTTCCTTGTATCCCCTACCTGCATAAATCCCCAAAACACACTTCTTGTGTCTTAACAGAATGGCTTTGACACCCGCATCGACATAGCACATTAGCACTTGAATATGATATTAATTGAAGATGTCACAAAATTTGTCATTCTCATTCAGTAATGAATAATTGGCATACCAAGGTAGTTAAAGAGTTTCCAGGCCCCACATTCCTTCCCTTCCGAGCATCATCGAAAAGTTGAGTAAAATTTTCACAACAGATTGAGGATCATCATCGTTCCATATGCCGAATTTTGGAACTGCAGCACTTTTATAACGTGATTTGGGGACAGACAACTTAGTTTCAAGTATGTTGGCAATAGCAGCACTCAGCTTCTTGTTGATATCAGGGTTAAGTCCTCCAATGGACGCCAACTCTCTATACGTAGCAGGCTGCTCTGTTCCACCAAACGCTAATGGTATAGATCCCTTCAATACGATCATCACATGCTGCATCATGACAGATATAACAATTACTAAATGCTCAAACAGTAAATCAGAAGAGTAATTGGCAGAAAATTAATCAGTATCCCTCGAAAAAGACTTTGACCTTTTCCTTCCGATTATCAATTTATTTTGTGAACAAGTAATGACAGTATTATCAAGAAGCTTCTCCGCTTGTTCTTAAGTCAAGCATATTATTCTAAATTGTCCACCAATAACTTCTTAGCATTTTTCATCAACAAAATGAAAGGGGAGTCTCTGCTCCCATTAAATATGGTCAGATAAGTAGAGAGAAATTCATTATTATATGAAGTAAAACTTAACAGAGAGAGAAAAATCCACATAAACACAAAGAAAAATCTTTTTTTTGTAGCCGGTTTAAAATATATCTTTTCTAGAATCGTCATGCTTTATCTATGGAAAAATCAGTTCTACATGCTATGTTACAGCAAACTCCATAATAAGCAAACATATTAGAATGCAGAAGCACAAACGAAAATTGCAAAATATCAAATTTCCTATTCAACTTTCCTTTTAGCACCTAAAGAGCATAAAGCTTTCATAAAATTACAAAATTACATGACTACAGTTTGCCCCCAAATAATTAACCCATACAAAAAGAACAAGGGAAAATAATAATTTTTGAAGCTATTACTTAAGTGAAGGAGGAAATGATTTTGCAGACAAAAGAGTAAAGAAAATACATAATGACAAAAATCGTTTATGTCAAAAGAAATTATAAAAATCAAAAGAAACATACTAATCTGCATTTTCTGCTCCACTTCTGGAATCCACAATTTACTTCAAAGTAAGTGTCCTGCATTTTCATATCCAATAATCAGCACGGGGTAATCTATCGAGGGAAATAAAAAGTTGTTCTTCATAATTGGAGGACTTTGATTTAAGAAATTAAAACACTATGGTTTCATGGCCGTCAATAAGCAAGAAGAAATCATTTGAACGAGCGTATTTACCTCTTCGTCTCGATCAAGAGATTCATGACCACGAAGTAAAGCAATGGAAGGTATTATTTATATATAATTTCAGGTTGCTTGTGTAGAAGACTTCTCTTTTATTTTCTTTTTTGTGGGCTGCAGATGGGTGTGAGTTGGCATATTGGGTGGGTGGTATAGGAAGTACCTCTGCATCATCATTCTCATATATAGTATATCTGAATGCTTGGCCTAAATTATCTGCTGCAAGAGCTGCAACATCATAATCCCTGTTGTGAACATCTCCCTCGTCACTATCCCTGTTCCTGTCCTGCAATGCAGTAGGCCGGCTGGACACAACAAATGCAAAACGAATCAAGCTTTTCAGAAATTACTAAACATGCAAACATTTCTATGCAAAGATTTCTCCGTAGAATAGATGGGGACAGTCGGTGTTCTCTAACAACACTACATTGCAAAGTTAGATATAAAAGACCAGGAAGTTGTTTATTCATATTAACTTCATAAGTTTGTTTATTCATATTAACTTCATAAGTTCCGGACTCTCTTAAGGTTACAACTTTAGGAGGCAGGATAGTATCTTAAATTCAGTTATAATGTTTGCCTAAGATATTTGGATGATAAAATGATAACCTCCTCCATCAGTGTCATCCTGTGTGAAAGCAAAAGCACCAGACAGATGGAAAAAAATACTCACACGCCCATCTGTAGACGTTCTTATACAAAAGAAAAGATGAGACCATTTGAATACATACTCGTGATTAACACTATGGAAATACCCCAGAGAGTTTCTGATTAATACTTACAACCCCCATCGACCAAGACCCTCATTTTTACTCAAAGAAAGCCTTCTAATTTTAAATCCATAAAGTGTAAATTGGAAAATTCTAATAGAAGACAAAAGCAACACTACATCTAACAATAGCATTAAACCCCAATTACCTAGCAAAACCATGAAAATTTAAATCCGAACATTACCTACATTGAGCCAAAATCTTTTACACATAAATAAATAAATAAATAAATAAAAATGATAAGCATAGCAGGATGAAGGTCGAAGAGGGTACCATGGTCAACTTGGACGAAATCAGCATCAAATGAACAGAATCTCTGTCCATTTGAGCGAGACTTTGTCCCTGTTTATGTTCTTCATTAAAATAAGCATATAGCCACCAAAAAAACAAAAAGTCCAAAAAAAAAAAGGAAAACAGAGTGGAAAAGATATTCAAACCAAAGCTTTATTGTTTGGCTTCTACAATAGCATCTAAACAGTATTTAGTTAACCTGCTATGTACTCTGACAATAATTATGCATCAGAGAATCCATTCAAGTAAAAGAAAAGTTCAAGTAAAAGAATGAGCATAACATTGTGTAAAACTAATCGCCAAACCTCGGACATTGTAAGCCCATACTCATTGGAATTCACCGCCAGCCCGTGTAACGAATACTGGTAATCGACAACACACGAAGTAATCTGCAACAAGCATCGAATCTTACTAAGTGTCCAAAATGCAGAGTA